CTCATATACCAGCAGTGTAAGAGTAGCTCCTCAGGAAGTTATTTTTATAAACATGGAAAATATTGTCTTGAGCTACACCTTAACTTTGTGGTTCTGCACATAGAAAGTCTTATACAAGGATCTGGAAGAAAGTTGGTTTTGATCTTTCCACTGGGAAATAACATCGTGGGTTTGAAATACAAAGATACTTATATTGGTCATAGTGTTCTTACTATGTCGTGATATAAGCAAGTTCAGACAATCAATGTGCTGCATATCTGAGTTTCTGTTTTACTCTGAAGTCTCTTTTACTTTACATCTGCTTGCTTTAATTTACCAGAATTATCTAATCCAGAGATGGTTAACCTCTCCTTTCTTTTAGATCCATTCTGATTTCCAGACTCATCTGGTATCTGGGATTATTGCCTGTCCCCTGCACAGAGCTGTGATGCTATGGCTGAAGTCTTCTTACAGAAAGAGTATCACTGAAAGCAGAGCAGTATGAGTATTGGATAGTATCATCCCCTGGCATTTGGCTAACCTGGATTTTAACTCATGAGATTGTGGCTGATTTTATTTATTTATTTATTTATTTATTTATTTATTTATTTATTTTTCAATTTAATGATAGGTTGTTGGGTTAAATGCCATATCAGGTGATTGTGGATGCTTTGGCATTCATGGCACTCCGTAGATGATTCTTGGCTCAACCTAGTGTCTTCTGAATGTTTACCTAATGCCCACAGATGTTTGCTATTGGTCATATTGATTGGAACTGATGGAAACTGAAGTCAGAATATCTGGACAGCACCAGGTTGTATACTCTTGATGTAATCAGTAATTTTCCTTATGGTTGAGTTCAAATGGTTCACCAATTCACCATATACATTTATTCAAGAATGGAATACAGTGAATTTATAGGGATTCATAGAAATTTCAGGGAAGCTATCTCATTTTCTTAATGTTCTGTACCATGAGCTTTTGAGTTAATGCCGTCAATGAGCATTTCCCATAGAGACTTTCTTTTATTGATCTTCTCAAGGCAGTTAGCTGTAGTGCATTGTCATCTCTCTAGTCCTTTGTGTGCCCATTTTGTTGGCTTTTCGTTCCCAGTCTTAGGCATTTTCATTTCTCTGTGGTTTTATACTTTCTTTTTTACCCCTCATGTTATGATACTTGGGCCACATTTCCCTTTTTGAGAACCAAGAGAGGCCTGTTCTGGAATACATGATTGGGAGGGGGCCATGCTTGTTGAAATGGGCATCTCTATCCAGGTAGAGGGTCAGAAGGCATTCATAAATCACTGCAGTCTAGTAGCTTTGCTTCAAGTAAGGATACTCAGGAGGGACATTTGGCCAAGTTCCTTATGAACACAGTTCCTTTCTCCCTCTTGAGGTTAAGTAGCCAGGGAGGCAGGTTTGTGACCACATTTTTGTCTAAGTCTTCTCTTGGAAAGAGTAAGTTGGCTCTATGGGGATAAAAGAGTCTATCGTTGCCCAGAGTCACTTGGATTGGGATGGGCGGTTATCAAAATTGCATAAATAAATAAATGAAGATGCTTGCTTCAAGATAGCATGAAGATTTCTAAAATTCCAGAAGGAAATAATCACAATCAGACTTCTAGGCGTAGAAGACTAAATGTGTTAGTTATTTTCTTTTTTAAAATATTGGATATGCTCAAACCAGTGTCTGAGGTTGATTCCTTTCACAACCATTTTTCCATGAAGCTCAATCTCCATTTGGAATGAGCTTGCCTACTGATTTTTGGTTTACATTTACTCTTTGAATTCAATTCTTTTTCTCTAAGCTCTGTGCCCACCCATGCTTCTTTTCACTGTTTTGTGTTTTCTAATGAAGTAAATACTATTTATTTGAAATAGATATTTGGGTGTCAGTTTGTAACCTGGGGGGTTGTAAACTGGGAACACATCTCTGATGGCCAAAGGGATTGCAAATTGACTATCAGTTTCTGGGCTTAAACTGTATTTTTTTTTCTTTTCTTTCTTCTTTTAATTAATGGAAAGGAGAAGTTCAATTAGGTGGGGGGAGAAGGTAATAGCAGCTCTACCAGTGACACCAATCTGTTCTACATTCACATTTGGTAGTCCCAGTTGGGTGGGGAAGGCCTGGTGGGTGGGGGAAGTGAGTGGGGAGGTGGGTCAGTGGGACAGACCTCCCTTTATAGGTTCATCTTTAAGTTTATCAGCATCACATTATAGCTACCTTGTCTTAGTGGTTCTGAGAGATTCACTTCTCTGAATAATTTTTCTCACGCTGATTTTTTTTTCCTTATGGATCTACCTACTGAAGCCGTAATGGAATTCAAGGCTTGTGTTCACATGCCCTAATTTTCAATTATTGAGCTGAAGGCTGCTGGAATGAGGAATGAGGCATTTTTTCTGTTCCCCCTTTACGTACTCCAGAACCATGGCTGCTTCTTGCTATCCCTGTGGAGAGTCAGGATTCTTGATCAAAATTTGTCAGACAAACTCTAAAGCAGCATTTCCCATTTCATGCCTCATTAGGCTTACAGTCACCTCTCACCATGTATATAAACTATACTGCTTAGTCCTCCTCCTTTATGGGATGATAGATGACTCTCTGAGGTGCCCTATCAACATCTGATGCTCACTGATGGCTACCTTAACTAAGTCACATTTTGTCAGAAGTGGCTTCATTAAAGGACATTTGGCTGGATATGCCAGAAAAATGAACACAGGATAGCACTGGAGAGCAGAGATAGATTCTTGGATGACACCAGAGCTAGCCTCTGGACTTCAGAAATCCTCCCCATTCTACAAAGCGACCTGTAGTGAGTCTTCATTAGTAGCCCTTAGACAGGTTTAATTCATTTTCACGGGTTCTGTTTATAGTCAGACTGTCATTTTATTACCCACCAAGCCTTGAAACCATGCAATATTGTGGCCATTGTTGAAAATTAGAGTGGCAAGGGTAGATCCAGCTACCCAGTGTGGGTAAAGGGCAGAAGTGGTGCCAGCAATGGTCTCTATTGACATTACAGAACTTTAATAAATATCCAAGGATTTGAGTTCTGAATGCTAGCTGTATATTACTTCCCTTTAGCAATTTTTTTTCAGGAGAAGTCAAGAAGGAGCAAGGGGAAGTTTGGGCTTTGTTGTCCAGGGTACTTAAGTACAATTTTTGCCATATTCACGAGGAAGTTAGCATATTCTGTTATTACTCTTGCAAGATTGTACATGTGTGTAGGTACAAAATCAACCGTTTATTGGGAACCAAGAACACAAAGAGGATATTTATAGCCACAGGTGGTTGTGAGATGGGAAAATTCCTTCCCACTGTGTGTAGCCTACAGGAGTGATTACAGCATGGAGGGAAGGAATGTGATCCTGAACTTTGTGCACTGCAGGTTGTTGTTTGAGGAAAGAGCAGTGTCAAGATGTGACAAGTGTAGGGATTACATACATTTGTGGATGATAAGGTTATCACTGGTTACCAGTCCTAATGGCGATATTATCACCAGTGTCAGTGGCGCAGTGGCTCTTAGCATCAATTGCTGGGGAACCCAAATAGGAGGGCGCTGTTCTTCTTGCAAGCTTTTCAGAAACATCTGGCTGGCCCCTGAGAGGACAGAATGCTGGACAAAGCAGGCACTTTGTTTTATGTTTTTATGACTTTGAAGAATAAATGTGGGATGGGATGGCAAGATCAAAAATAGCCGAGGCCTAGTCAACCTTTTCTTCTTATAAAAGTCTGAATGCACAGATGATTTTATTTATATAAATATATAAATAAATAATCTTTTTAGGTTAGTTTACTCTGACTCTGCAAAACTTGATGCTATCTCACAGTTCATAAATCTTCCCCATGTGTCCCAGTCACTTAGTTTTTCTCTCTTGGGCTTGTTAAGCAAAAAGGGTCAGAGTATTTGAAATATAGGTTGGTTTCATTTTCAGAGATCGATTTTTTAAAGTGTGTGTGTGTGTGTGTGTGTGTGTGTGTGTGTGTGTGGCTTTGTTATACTTTCTTCTTTTAAATTGAGTTTAGATCTTGAGGGATGCTTAGAGATTTGAGACTTCAGAAGGATCACTTGACATGGGCATTTGCAGTCATGAATTGACCCACTGACACAGGAACTGCATTGTATAGCCCTGCCATTTCTGCAAACCATTGCTGAAATTTGACAATTGTTTCCATCCATATGAAACTACCCAGCCCTTAAAACTGTCTACTTCTCCTGTCCATTTTCTTGGTCCAAACTCTGCTTGCCTTTGGTGGATGGTTTGGTCTGACCCCTTTCCACTTGTCATTTGAAGAAACTTTTTAATAAAGGTCTATTTACTGCTCTTTTTAAAAAATTCAGTTGCAAACGGGGACTCAAACAAAATGTTGCAGTGCACTGTGCCCCTATTCAGCACTCCAGTCGGCCATGCTGTCATCCAGCATTCCCCAATCCTTGCACTGGCTCTTACCCTGTCAATATTGTGTGGTCCATTGAACATGTCCTGTCTTCATTCACAAGTTCAGCAAGCTCTGGATTTTCCCTAAGCCTGCCAAACTTTATAACAAGACTCCATCCATCCTCAGGAAAATGAGCTTGCTATCATTATTTAGGATGTTTTTCATTGTATTTTAGGATTATTGAAATATGACAACTTGGGAAAATGTTTTATTTTTGCTATTACCTCTTGCTTCTTTAAATATATTTTCTAGTAGGAAGGCCAAAAATAAGCAAGCTGTCTGGTAGGTGGAAATATGGATAAGAGATCAGAGTGTTTATTACAAAGAAATGAATAAATCAGAGCAGCTTTCCCCTACCATGCGCCCTCCAGATATGTTGTTCCCATAATCTCCAGGCAATGTGCTAGCTGAGGTAGTATTTATTTAAATTTGTTATAGCCGCCCACTCCAGTAGACTCTGAGCAATTTTTGAAAGCATCAGGATGGGGGTGGCCAAATTACAGTAACAACACTATGGTATAAAAAAATCAGTATGTTTATTGTAACTTGATACAACAACCTGATTACTATCTGAATATGGGTTATTGTACTTTACAGAAATTGTTCATCAAGAGCTGACACAATCATTGGATAACTGTTTTTTTCAGCCTGTACACATGGGAGCTAGTTTTGCTCTTTCTTTCTGCCTGAATTCCAGAAGAAGGTGATACATACCTGGAGAGGTGAAAGCAAAGAACAGTGGAATGGGGCATCCAGGTGAGTTCCTGAACTAGTTATCAGTCACGGGAGTTGCTTTCAGGCTTTTGTCTGGGCCCTCATAGGGAAAACCAGTATAAAGGAAAGAAGATCTTACCAACTCTTGTGACACAGTGATAGATAGATAGATACACTGCATGTGTATTTGGGGGGTGGGAGAAGAAGAGGAACAACCGATATGAGTTTCTGGTGGCTCCCTTAAAGGTTGCATCACTCTTTTGCAGTACATTTAGGTCTCCTTTGTCATCTTGCACCTCATAACTGGTTTTGTAGTTTGCTATATTAAATTTTAACTTGCTGAGAGAACTGATGGAAACACACATGCACTTGCATTTTTCAAATACTGCAGCTTTATTGGAATAAAATAGTCCATGTTGATATTTTTCAGGGAACACAGTAATGGTCAGAGTATGCTTGATGGGGAAGCTTATAAAACATCTCACCCTGTTTCAAACATTCTTTTAGTCCCTTCATATTCTGTGCTTTTATTATTTTCATTATTAGATACTTTCTACCTCTGCATGATGATGATGATGATGATGATGATGATGACGACGACGATAAGCTTCATGAGAAGCAAAGAAGGTGCATGAAATGAAGATGAAACCAGAGTCAGAGAATGAAGCCAGAACTGTCCATTTTCTTCTCATGGTCTTGATGAGAAGAACATCAGACACCAAAGGACCATCTTGCTCTGTCTGTTGACCCAGAGTCTTTTTGTAGCAACTCATGGGCTCTGGCTTTCAGCCCCCTGAACCAAAATGGCTGACCGGCTCCAGTAACTTGCTAATGACGCGATCTTAATTATTTCTCTTTGAAGACCAGAAAGCATAACAATTCCCTTTTCACACTCTAGTAACCACCTGCTCCTCTGGCACCTTACATCAGGAAATAATAGCTATGAACTGCAAGTACAAGCATATGAAATCTGGGCTGAAGGCAGGTTCCATTATCCTATTCTTAACTGTGCAACAGTTTCTTAATGATACCATTTTAATCTTGTGCAATTTAGTAACACAAATTTCTCTCAAAGAAGGGATTTTTACATGTTATTAACATTTTCGCATGTGGAATACTTATCTCAACCAGAAACAGCTTGTAGCAAGGTAAAAATCTATACACAGCATGTTGCAGAACAATGACTCTATTATTATCCCTCCCCAGTGTTAATTTTTAAAAAATTTTGAGCTATATTAAGAAGATTTGAAGACTATGGAAGTGATGCATTGGAACAGGATGGCTTACTTTTTTCATTCTCTGCTCTGCTCCAGACAATTAACTTTGGGGAAAAGGGAAAGCCACATACGATATCAGTTATATCCTGCTTGCCTCTTGAAAGGTTAAATATCAGATGTTTATGTTGTTCCACCCTAAACTGTTTTGGCCAGAGAAGTTTGGAAATGTAATGATATAAGTATCAGTTTTTTTTTTTTTAAAGATTGCAACTGGGGTGGTGACTGATAGAGAACAGAAGACACAAGGTGCACTAGGTCATTTTTGCTAATCAAACTAGTGTAGGTACTGACATTTCTTTATCAGTACATAAACATTCAATTTCACATGCGTTTGGCTTTCCAATTCCAGCTATGGACTTTAGAAAGTTATATCTTAATTTTATAAATTACATAACAGGTCATATATGTTTCAACTTTCCCTATCTTATCAGAGATCTAATTCTCATGTATTAGTGTTTTTTTCCTACTTCAAAACTGAGCTCCCATCTTATACATCTTATATAGTACCTAGACAGACTGTATATACCACAGGATTCAAAATTTACAGCTAGTTTGAGAATGTGATTGTTAAAAGAATGGCAAAAATGAATTTCAAGTGCTTCTTGAAATATGCATGCAGACTGGTTACCGATTCTCATCTTAATTTAGCACAATGCCCCCAGTATATTTTCAGCTCAGGGCATTTAGTGGAAGCTGTTCTATAATTCAATATGCATATAATATTAATATTAAACTATTGGCCTTTTTATAGAGGTTCCCTCCCAAGCAGTCACAAATAGGATTCCCTTCCTGACCAATCAGACAACATATCTCACAAATAAGTTGTCAGATTTGAAACAAATCGAGTACAGTACTTGGAACTTTTGTTTCACAAGGAACAACTGATTACTTTTTGCTTGGAAAGAGAAAATAAGGGAATTAAGGATGGGGATGGGGGTTAAATAATTTGGGTGTGTACACCCACCCACCCAAAGGCCTGTTCTCCAAAACTGATCACGTTACCACTGTTCCCTGCATCTTTTACCTGATCAGTCTGCTGGAGGTCTCCCACTGATGAGGAGGCCCCGCAGTTATTTAGAGCCTCCTCAACTATAAAGACAGTTTTGCCTCATCATTTAAAATATCACCCACCATCTAGAGTAGATGCAAATTACCTGCAAGAACACATCAAAAGCCCATTTATTTCTTCATTAAATGGAATTAAAGGGGGACTGTTTCTGAGCTAACAAAGCAAGCAATATGGTCAAAGTTTGTTGGCTAGTTAATTTTCCACTGTAGCTCTTTCTCAAATGGTTTTAGACAAGCTACCCTCAGCTGGGCACCATTTGACTGTTAGGACCTCCACTTTCTGAATTTCTAAAATAGTGATTTCTCTAAAAAAAAAAAAAAATCCTTGTGAAGTTTCTTTTCAGTAAAGAAATAAACCATAACATTTTTCTTACATATGGTTAGATGTAATGTGTAGTTTAACTGTGAAATGAACTCCTAGGCTACATCAGTTTTACCAGTTCTGGATCCAGCCAGCAGGGGGCAATGGAGCCTTTTATTTACATGTCCCCTCCATTGCCTCAGTTATGAAGAGCCATATTAAATCTTTAAAAACATGTTTTTTAAAACATGGAGCTTAAGGAAACATACATCATACCCAATATCACATGGACTATCTAATTTATAGTATGTTCAACTGATTGGCTCTCCCCAAAATTGCTAAATGTCTTTTCTGTGTAACTAGCTCCACAAACAACATTTGCACACAGGTTAAAATGCAGGACTTAAATATGATTTGAGAAATCTCGGCAGGTTAGCCCAAGTGAGACAAATCATGAACTAAAAAAGCAGAGACTTGGTTCAGAAAGGTGAAACATCCATGTCATGATTTTGAGGACAATTTCAAACACACAGGACTTATACAAAATGAACATAAGGCAACCTGGCTTATACTAAATAAAAACATTTTTCTATTTAGTCCAGTGCTGGCTAGAGTGGAATTTACTAGTAAATGTTTGGATGACTTGAAATATATCAGCATGTACATTTGGCTGCCAACTCTCGATGACAGGAATAGCAAAAATTTGGTCTTTGGATACTGAACGGTACTCTTCTCAACCTGATACCCTCCAGAGGGATAGAATTGTAACTCCCAACATGTCTGGAGACCATCAAGGTGTGGCAAACTGCATCAAAAGCATGTATTCTGTATCTTGAAAATGAATCGTGGTCCTCATTATAATTTTTTAAAAGCAGATTTTAAATGTGGAACTAGTAAGTAAATCATTAGAAAAGATTAAAAGTACTTTTATTTCTGACAGGAAGAATGTTTCAAAATATGACAGTTGTATATTTCAGGAATATGTTGGCTACTAAGAGCATAGGAGATTTGAGTAGAGTTTCAAAACTGATGAGGTTGGATCAAATGGCTTAAAGCTACAATGAAAGTACATGCTTGTAAAATAACTGCAGTCAGAAAGGTAGAATGTACTACACAGCCTTTCTCTAACAGCAGTCTGATCCCACACATAAATGCACAAAAATATGTACTCCAAACAACTGCAAATTCAAAAGTTGAAGTGAAAAATTGGGAATTTTGTTAAGCACTTAGCTACATAACTCAGTGAAATTTACTGCATAATTTGACATTTGGGCATTGGAGAAAATGACTTCCACCAAGATGAATTAGAGCTACATGATCCCTGCTGCTCAATCCCCATGTAGCTAGGGAAGTCATTTATACTACAGGTAATACCTGAGTAATGTAAGTCCTGACTTATGTAAATCTGATATAATGGAGTGGGCACAAGAATGAGAGCCATCATGTTGACATGTGTGTGGCACACAGTCCAATGTGCACAAAATTTAGCTTATGCAAGGGTTCCTGGCGCTGTCAATAGCCAACACTCTTCACCTGTTTTTGTTCCCTCAGGATGGGCTTACCAAAGGAAAACATTCCCCACAGTTTTGGCTAATATTTGATAGATTAATAGTAGATTGCCCAGCTAGTTGGCATCATCTACTTGACTTTGGCTGATCTGGAGAACCTAAGAGGTTGAATTTGTTTAGTATCTGGGTGGAGGACATCCAGAAGATCCCAGGGCTATAGGCTAGAGTGGAACATTGAAAAAGTATCTGAGATAAAGAAATGGGAATCCACTTCTGTACTGTTGTAAGAAAACTACATGGATGTGTTCATGAGTTGAGCTCCTCTTGAAGGAGACTTGAACTTTTAAAGTAATACAGTGCAGTCTAAGTCTCAACATCTTAGGCAAAATCATATTTGACTGATATAAGTCTTTCACTATTAGTCAACACTTTGTTGGTAGGCAACTAGGGCAGCTTGTGATTAAGCTAAACATTATGCACCCTAACTGAGGTTGCTCAAGCAAAGATTTCAGTGCTATCTAGGAATACTGATGGCTATCTAAGGAAAAGGTGACAAAACTCCTGCAGTTGATTTCAATGAATCTACCAAGTCCCACTAGAACTCCACATACCTTTACAGTGGCTGAACTTAGCCATCAGTCAATTACTGCTTTGCCTTTGGAGTCTGAAAAAGACAGAATAAAGTTGTACGACAGTTTTGCTTCCAGAAACATACACGGGTTCTCTTTTCTCAACCTCTTTGTTGCCTACTTCGTTCATCAAATCAACACTGTAGAAGAAAGTTAAATTAAAGGGAGAGCATTTTTGCTCAGAATGTAAGCTCTGAATCCTCCTGTTGTTAACTAATGGTGGCCCTAACATTCATAATTGCTTGGCTCAATATATGTAATTGTCTAGCTCCTGACTCTTGGCTATATTAATGAATGGAGGGTCATGTCTGTCAGATATTCTTCTCCAGCTTAGGATAGTAAGTGAGAGTCTCTGCTCTCCTGATCAACATTCAACAGACCAGGTACTTGAAACCAGCTATTCTGTAGACATGTGCATAAAAAGTTATTTAACATTAACTTCTTATTTATTTTTGAGAAAGTTCCCATTAAATCCTATGGGATTGCCTACTTGTATGGGAGGGCATCTGCCTTTGCTACAACTTCAGTAATACCCAATCCAACTAAAGTTTTCAGTAAATGTAAGCATGCACATGTAGCACCATCCATATCTATGAACCAATTGTATGAGCAAGAAGAACATGTTTCAGAAACAGTGGGGATTCTTTTGGTAGACACTGAGCAAATTCTGAACCAAGGCAAGTGGATTTCAGCTTTTAGTTATAACTACAGGACTTTCAACTGTATTATTAAAAGTTGTGTGACAAGCTAAAGTAAGTGAACAGAGTGAATAGGGAGTACCATTTCCTGGGAAAAGTGAAATTGCCTATGTCATTATTCTGAAGTTTTACTGGGTCTTTTTGCTTGTGAGGAATAGACCCTGCATGATTTCCTTGACGTATAGAAATTCTAGAGTGATTCTGATTCCAAGGGAATCAGTGGCCAATTTTCCAGCACATTTGAAAAACATAGGATAAAGAATGGGCAACATTACTCCCAACTCTACTGCTAAAGCAAGTCACCTCACTTTGCCTAATGTCAGTGACTAAACTCACAAATGATGAGTCTCTTAAAAAACATTCATTTCCCTTGCATTATTGTTTTAGTGAATGGCATTAAGATTCAAAGGTCATTCCTTCCAATGCTCTGCATAATAAAAGGGTACTCAACAAGACAATACTTAAGACACTTTTTCTAAACTGTATGAATGCATGCATATTTGTGTTTATGGTACAATTTAATTTATTGGCATATAATACAGGACTGAGGAGCAGAACTCTGCTTATAAAACAACAGTATGTGGCTGGCTGAAAGGTAGAAAGAGGTTTTCTAATAAATAGGAAAGTGAATGATTGAACTAACATATGCCACCAACAGAGATTGGAAGAGGCCAACGAGGTTCTACCACATATTTTTTGCATTTCTTTTTTTAATATGGATCCTGGGGAGAGCAACATATTGACTATGTAAAAAATTAAACTAGGATGCTTTTGTCTGAAAGTTCTACAGACTTGCATACTTAGCAGTGTAATGGATATAGGTATAAATAAGCTGCAGTCAGAGCTTCCAAACAACAGGGTGAAACAACTGGCTTCAGTTGAATATGGCATCTGAACAGTGCAGCATGACACTGTTAACTCTTGCCCCCAGTCAGTGGACTGGCACTGGCTACAGTATCACCCAGCAAAGAAGCAAAGAGATAATGGTTGACTAAAACGAAACTGCCTTGTAGCTGGGCGTCTAGTAATAATCTCTTTTCAATAGGCCCATCAAATCATCTAGCAAATGTTTGGAATCTTCTCTTGCCTTACTGTTTATTTGATTGCTCTTCTGCCTTCCGGCCCAGAGGAAAGCCATTCTTCTCTTGTAAGACATTCAAAAGAGACTGAGATCAAGGATCCTCCTCTGTCAGTCCCTATCCTAGCAGGGCTTTACTGCTTAATTTCCATTTCATTTTGCTGTTAGTGTGGCCCAGATTACAGTGAATCAAGAGAAATACTATCCACTTACATATCCTCCCATGACCCAGCTGTGGTCATCTGGAAGTTCACTCCTGATTTGATGCCGTTCTCTCCTTAAGGTAAAACTGAGGACAACTCAAACACTTTTGCCTTCCTCTAAGGATGCCAAACAGCCTAATGTTGACAGTCCAGTGATAACCACTGTCTCTAGACTGCAGTTTATTACTATGGAGTGTAAATTGGTCCTCGTTAAAATGCAATTTTCCAAGGCACTATGGGAGATCTTTCTCAGTAAATGTCTTGCTCATTTATTAAGCATCATCCAAGGTCAATCAGGGCAAATGAAAAACACAGGAAATGAAGACAGCACTTCAAAGATTGGCAGCTCCTGCACGGAGAATGTGAGTCCTGTCCTTGGCTGAAGCCTGTGCTGTGCATGTGGGAGCTGAGAAGCAGTCTGTGCAGAGGGTTGCAAAGATTAGAAGAATCCAGCTGCTTAAAACCAGAGCTTAGCAGAGAAGAGGATGTTGGCAGAAGCAAAAGCCAATTCCATGAGAATATTTTAATATTTTCTTTCTTTTGGGGTCGTCATCATCATCATCATCATCATCATCATCATCATCATCATCATCATCTCAATAGGTTAAATATTCCATTGGGAAGCTTGAGCAATGGTGGGCTAGCTTTTAAAAATTCTCTTACAAAGGCCAGCCTTCTCTAACCTATTATGCTCCAGATGTATTAGGACTACAATTCCCAAAATTTACTGACATAATGGCCAAAGGAACCAGGCTGGGAAAGGCTGGGGTAGACATACTACTGCTCAGACATTAATCAATACCAGTGTAGTAATTTCAGTCTTGGATCAAGACTCTTTTTGCTTGTGTAAGGTGCATTGTCACTCCAGTTCCTTTACAGCATGATCAGATTGCACCGTGTACACTTAGAGGTCTCTGTTAAATTACAGTGTTATATAGCACATGGCATAAGACCGGAAAGTAGTCTTCTCACTTGGACCATCTCAGGAATAATGACAACTGTACATTTTAAGATATTCCCCTTCCCTGTTATTTATGCACTATAAGCATCATATTTTTAAACTGCAATCCTACACCACTGTCCTAGAATAAAACCAATTGAATTTAAAAGGACTTATTTCTGAGTAGAGATGTACAGGATTACAATGATAATAATCTACATTTTGCTCTGTGTTTGATTCAGTCTTACCTTCAGACATTTTGCCAGGATTTCTTGTGACTTTTCCAGTATATATTTATTTATTTAAAAGATCTGCATAGCTGCCCATCTTACATAGCATAAGCCTGGGCAGCTCACAAGCAGTATTTAGACAGATCACATTTGTTCTTTTGATTAGTTTTGCATGACTAATCCATCTGTATAAGGGAGTCCAGGATTCCTCTGCTTGGAATACAGTCCCTAACCTGAACAATTTAATGGATCAAGTAATAAATGCTGAAAAACTAAATAAACATATTTTTTCTGCCCATAGGTCCTTATGTTCCACCTCCCTTCAATTGGCCATCAACATGTCCTTGACATGCTCACAAGGAAGGAATGGGTATAGTGACATCTTCTATACCCTCAACACCTGGATAGATTTAAGTACAGTATCTGCATTAAAGGGAATAAATGGGCCAATCTTTCATGAATTGACTTTTTTAAAGCATGTGTTGTGGGTTATTACCATATCTATAGATTGTGTTCACACAACACATTTAATCGGGTCAGGCAAGCAACATGCCAAGTGGGGTGTGAATTCATGTCATAACATGGCATGTAAACTTGGACCCTTTGACTGAATTGTTGTACAAACCCATAAAATGGATTAATTTAGCATGTTGTGTAAATGCAGTCATAATGCAATTATGTATACCTTGCCTATATCACATATAAAGACTCTGTATTTAATTGGGTTATACTCTTGTCTCCTCCAACATATGTCTCAGTGAAAATAACAGCACTGCAGGTTTCTATGATACTTTTGTGATAGATGGATGCTATTTACAATCATTTTCTTCACTCATTGCTGAAAAGCAGTGATGCATCTTACTTTGAGGAAGGAAAGACTGTCTTGTGGAATAACTATATCACAATAGTGAAGGGTCATTAAATAATACTACATTCAACTGCAGACTTTCTTTAAGATGGCTTTAAGATATCTACATATTGCCTAGATATGTATCAGTTATACATCTAGACAATTCGTACGACTTCAATAGATCAGTGTGTATGTATGTGTGTGTATGTATGTATATATGTGTATATATATTTAATCCATACGCACAGACACAAAATAACAGAATATCTGACAACCATTAAGCTATAAATAATAAATGATTAATTATTTACAAATAATTTGATTCCTAATGATTTGTCAATTTATTTGAGGTCTGCACTGAAATATTCAAATAGATCTGAGCTGGTACCTCCCATGCTTTCTAGGGATCAGTTATTCCTCTGGAAACCTGGAGAAAGGTGTCACTAGCTTTCAGGGTAAAGCAGAATTAGCATTTTTGATGGGATTACTTTTAAAATGGCGATATTCATGGTATTTTGATCAATGAGACCACCATCTTTCCCTCCTCCCCAAACCTTTGGGGAAGAACTCTATGCTGTGGCAAAGCCCTGTTCTCATGCGACATTCTGTCCTAAGTTAGGGCTGCAAAAATCCAGGAGACCCTGAGAGGACTGGAAAGATATCCAAAAAATTTCAACACTTAGTTGCTGTCCAGTGGCTGTCTGGATTTCTGCAGCAGAATGTTCGTATTTTCTGCATATCTTTTCTACCATCTCAAGGTCTCCTGGATTTTTACAGCCAGGTTCCTAATTAGAAAAGGAATGTGTCAGACTGTTAGCTGCTACTTGAAGCAGCTGTGAAAGGTTTCCCCCACCTTGCCGCAAAAACACTAGCAAAGACAAGAACAACAACAAAAAATCTCCGTTTTTAGAGAATATTTTCATCTCACTCCCTTGAAATGCTGAAAAGTTTTCTGGGCTGAATTAGCCAGCACAATTCAAAATGAGCTGTTCTGATCCTAATGTTGGGTTTTATGCCCAACTGGCATTCTCCTGCA